GTCAGCGCCACGTGGCCATCCACGTCACCGGAACGTGGCCAACTGTCAGTGACACGTCAGCAAAGGTATGCCACGTGTCTGCCCCGTCAACCAGAGGCAGGGAGGGATCCAGTGCTACGCGACAATGGTGCAGCCGCAGGAGGAAGGATCCAGTGCTTTGCGGCGAAGGTACAGCCGCAGATCTGAGGCGTACAAAATGTTTTGGCTAGATCGAAGCCATTTCATTTGGAGTCCGTTTTTGGTGATCCAATAGTGGTTTCCGACTATTTGGAGTATTCCGGACACATCCGTACGGTCAGATTTTGGAGACAGAGTTTCTGTAAAAAGAAGTAAAAGTAGAGGGCGTTCACAGTCCAGACAGGACAACATGAGGAGGTGTTTTTACTGTGATCAAGAGGATCACGTAATAAGAGATTGCCCGGAGAAGAAGGCGGACAGACAAGCCAAAGAGAAGGCTAAGGGACACGGAGGTCCCTCAACTACAGCAGTTGCAGTGCATTCCTCTGACGATGAAGAGGTGATGCTTACAATCTCGTCAGAGTTGGAAACACCCGGCTGGATTTTGGATTCAGGGTGTACGTTCCACATATGTGCGGATAGGAAGCTTTTCTCCACTTACCGAAGAGTCAGCGGTAGCATTATCCGGATGGCCAACAACACAGTGAATAGAGTTGTCGGTATAGGGACAATGCGGTTCCTTACTAAGGATGGAAGAAACGTAATTTTATCTGAGGTCCGACATGTGCCAGGAGTACAGAGGAATCTAATCTCCCTGAGTATGCTAGATCTAAAAGGAAATTGTTTCTCATCTAGTGGCGGGGTTCTTCATGTACACAGAGGTGATAGAGAAATGTTGCAAGGCAAATTGTGCAACAAACTGTACAGACTGGAAGGAGAAGTTTTAACAAAGATGAGTGTTGTCAAATGCCAGTCGAAGGGTACAAAGAGAGAACATACGCAACCAAAGCGTATGATTGAGCAAGGCTTTCATCAGGAATGGCGAAAACGGTGCACGGGAACGCAAGGAAGCAGTTCAAAGGTGCACAGATCTGAGCTAGTGAAGCCAATCTTGAAGAAAGTTCAGAGCAAAGAAACCAAGTCTGTAGAGACTATGCCAGTGAAGAAGAGAGTTTCTTTTGCTCCCATGTTAGAGACATTTTGCAATGCACTCCAATAAGGGGGTGCAAGCACTATGCACGGAGTTGCATAGTGGTAACTTGTACAGACCGGTGGAAGTCGTCTTGGCAGAAGGGCTAACTGTCAAACATTAGTACGGACGTACAAGTGAGACAGAACCAAACATCAGGGATTGCAGCACAGACAACAAGCGTATGTGGAAACGCCAGGAGGTTGTTCAGAAGTGCAGAGGGCAAAGACTGAAAATTCAGAAATAAGCTCCGAGCAAGGAAAATTGAGGATGTTGATGTGTCAAATTCTGAAGTTTTCTAGTTGCTCCCGTGTTCATCATGCAAGGAGTTGCACGGTAATGCATGACAATCAAGGGCATCCCAGCAGGGGGTGCAGGGCATCCAATCAGGGGGTGTCAGATATCTTGGTTGTGCAAGTTCAAGCATAGCAGGTATAGACATCCGAGACAGAAGCGTGGAAGAGATCTGTGGGAGATAAGAGCAGAGGCTCTCTCCAAATCAAAGAATGGTGTGAGTTGAGTTGAGGATGTAGGATTCCCTCCTCCTCCTGTATCTCTGGTGTATTATCTCTAGCTTTCAAGGGATGCAGCGTCTCAGTGAGGAGATGCAAACTGTGTTGAATTTGGACGTGACAAGATTAGCAGCAATGTGTACAGTGGATCACCTCACATGGGTTGAGGGGGTGATTTGTTAGTTATCACCCCATGTGAAGGGTGATTCTCCATGTGCTGCAAGAGTTGGCAATGTGCAAAGCCAACACACATGAGCTGGCCATGTTAGGAAGCCATGTGAAGAAGGAGTTGGCACAAGCTGGCCATGTGCTGGCCAGCCCCTCCATCCACCATTCTGAAGTGTATAAATGAAGATGGGTGAGAGGAGAACAGAGTGAGAGCAGAGCAAGCCACAGAGAGTGAGATATGTGAGGCGGACAGACCGTCTCCCTCGGTGTGAGCGAGGGAGACGGGTGAGTGGGTGAGTGAGGAGAGTGTGAGCTCCTCCTCTATTGTAATCTTTCTGTAATATCTCCATTGTTATAGTGATAACCGGCTACTCTCCCGTGGACGTAGGCATTGAGGCCGAACCACGTTAAATATTGTGTCTCCTTGAGTGTGGGTGTGTTTTTCTGCATTGAATAATTTCTATAAGGTCTTGGGCGGGATCTCAGGTCCCAACAGTTACCAAGCAATTCACAACCTTAAACGGATCAACACATTTTTTAAATAAATATCCCATTATTTTCAATGAGAATGAGAAGTTTTGGTGTACCCATTAGACCAATGAGAAGTTGTGTTTCGTTTATTCATTTTTTCAAAGTGTGAACAAAATCAAATTCAAAACTTTAGGTGGTTGGTAGTTGAGTTATAATTATATGATGTGCAATGTAATAATTGTTGCAATGCACACTACCTAGCTTGTGGTATGCACACATGAACAGACCATAGGCTTCCTTCCAAATAGCAAAATGAAGATTTCATCATTATCGATTTTGTTCACACTAGTGTGGGAATAATATATACATTTTGATTAATTGAGAATAGTAAAACTTACATTTTAGATCACACTCTAAAAAAGTCAGTGAACAAATTTATTTTCTAATCTCGTCCATGTGATGTGAATGAATTAATATTAGAAGAGATTGTAAAATGAAATTTAATGATTTTTATTTTTTAAATGGAAGTAAATCACACTAAATGTTCCACACACACTCACACGAGAGAAAGCAAAAGATGGTCACATCCTGGTCACATCCCCAAATGTAACAATTTTCGCATATTGAAAATTTATTACTAGTCATAATTTAGAGGTTTAACTAGTACATAATGCAAACATGAAATAGTACAGTTTGTAAAGCTTAATACTCTCTCTATAGATGATTGGTACATTTGAGCATGAACGATTTTCATTTAAGTAGAAACTATACAAACCAGTTAGATTCTTAGAATAAAATAAAATAAAATAAAATAAAAATTACTATAAATAACTCAAATAAGCTACACCAAACATTCCTTATACGAGGAGAAGGCTTAAAGAATTGTCTAGAGACATTTGGTACTGACTATTTTTTGTTAGCTATACTCTAAATAATATGAATAACTTTCATATTTGAAAATTTTGAAAACTTTATATGCCCATTTTTTATGAAACATTTTAAATTATTTTCTGAATTTTGAGAATTTGGGTAAAAAAAATTGTATTAGCAAAACAAATTAAAAACAAATTGTTTGAAACCATGCAAAACAAGGTTTAATAAAATAAAAATAATTAAAACATTAACAAACGCATGATAGACAACCAGAGGTAACTTGAGAAGCGCCATCGCCAAATTTTGTCTAGGAACTTGAGTATACATGGCTAAAGAAACCTGGAGTGGAATATGAAAATTTGTTGTACCCATTGTGCCCTACTATACACATGGAAATTATGCAAACCTAATTCATCAACAGAACACTTGATGCAAGAAAAAATTTTGGCTCAATAAACTAGTAATTCTAATCCAAAACTTTGGGCAGTTTTTTAAATTGAGCCTCCGTTTGGGAAGTGGGTTGGCTTTTTGACTTTTTTGGCTATTTTAGTCTGGGCTAAAAAGCTTAGTTTGGGAAGGACTTTTTGACTTTTTTGCTTTTTTGGCTTTTTTTTATGAGAGAAGAGTGTAAAAATTATGGGTTAAATGTGATGTTTTGTTTTTTGTGACTAAAATAGCCTATTTTGTCTTTTGTGGCTAAAATAACTAAAAAAGCCCACTTTAGTTCTTCCCACTTTAGTTCTTCTCATTGTGTGAATTTGTTAAGTCTCTCCTCCTATGCAAAAAGTATTTCTCAAATAGCTTACTTCAGAACAAATGCATCTCAAAAAAAAAAAAAAAAAAACAGTTTATTTTTTGGGCCAATCCCCAGTGACACCTCAGTGGGGGTCGACCCCCAGTGGGGCTAGGAAGCATTAATCTTTTTAAATTGAATGTGTGTAGTGTAGTGAGTTTAATCCTTCGGAATTGTTGTTGGGTATTTTCTCATTGTGTGAATTTGTTAAGTCTCTCCTCCTATGCAAAAAGTATTATTTGAATCCGCTTCATTACAAGTAAAAAATAAAAAAATAATAAAAAAAGTATAAACATTTATTTAATGATCAATGACAAATCAATATTTTAAATTCAAATAATCTTAGTAAGACAAATGAGTTGCTGAGTTATTGCTAAAATATTAATTTTAAACATTAAAAACAAATAACTAGCAAACTCATTGGCGTTGAGCATACGACACAAATGGTAGAATTGACCACACCACACACAAAAAAGACCATTCTTTTCAAGTCTTTCCTCTTGTTCAAAAAGTAATGTTTGAATCCTTTTGTTCAAAAAAAAGCAATATTCAAATCCGCTCCATTATTTAATAGTATCAATTGTGAAATATCGAATCAATATTAACCTATACATATTGGGATTTAAGTGTTACAGTTCGTGAAATTTTAAAAATCTGAATGTGCCGGCAAGTAAGAAGATGTCCTAATGAAAACCAGTCAACGACTGCAAAATTGGTTCACCCAACAAATCTGATTCAAAATCCTTTTGGGTGAATATGATTCAAAATCTTGAAAAGTCATTACCCATACGAAATCCTTAACAGCTGATTTTTAAAACTATAGTAGTTTGCACACAAATATAAAAAATGTTTTTTTTGTCAAGTCAGTTAGGAAGACATTATTATTAGTCTATTTTTTTAAACATGAAACTTACATGAATAATTATGTAAAAAAGTCTAAGCAGCACAATATAACAATCATACAACAAATTCAACAATTACTCAAATTCAATAAATATTCCAAACAAATATCATCGATAAAACCACTCACCTTGTTATGAGATGCAGAGTGCCTTTTGGTAGCAGCAGAGACAGGTATAACATCATCAAATATGTATAGCTTCTATTAAAATATATTCACAATTACCTGTTTATGTTTAAAATTTAAATTATTTTTTTTTTAATTTGTAATTTTTATTTTTAATGGACTTTTTTAATATTTTATTTTTTTTAACCTTTTAGATAAATACAAATTTTGGAAAAAAAAATTCAAAAATTCACTAGATACTAAAACATACAAAAATTTAGTAAATTTTCACAAACATTTTGCTTTTTAAATATATAAAAAAATAAAAATAAAAATTTATTTAAATTATTTAAAAAGTTCACTAAAAAAAAAAAGAAAAATACGAATTCAAAATTCAAAAAATAATTTTGACAATTCAAACTCAAACAAAATGAATTTTCACATAATTGAATGATGGTGAGTATTTTGAAAATAGTATAAGAGGGAAGAATTTGAACTAAGAACGTTTATCTGTAAAGAGAGAGTGAGAATTCCCTTCCCGCTCAATAGTAAAAAAAATGGCGCTAAAATGTGCAACAATTCCATTCAACACGATCAAAGGCGTCGATTATCGATTCATAAGCCAACTATTCAAACCCTAACTCAAGCCTTCATCATCTTCTTGAATTCTTCAAAATTAACACATCCATCGCCATCAACATCAACAGATTTGATCATCTTCAAACAATCTCTCCACGAGCACTTCTCTCCTAAGCTCTTCAACACAGAGTGCAATTCCTTCACCGATATCAATCCATTCCCGTCCTGATCGTACAAATCGAAGGCATCGCGAAGCTCTTTGCTACTGCTGTCATCATCGTCGTCCGATCCTCTCCGGTGAAAATTGGCGAACTCGCGGAGATCAATGAATCCATCACCGTCGCTGTCGATCTCCGACATTACTCGCTGGACTTCCTCGGGAGAAGTATCGGAGCCGAGTGCACTGAGGACCGCTCGGAGCTCGGAGGCGGATATCTTCCCGTCGCCATTGGCATCGAATTTTTTGAACACTTTTTCTACTTCTTCCATGTTGCCTAGCGTCGTCAGTGAATGTTTACCGTTGCTTGAACTCTTCGCCATCGTAGAGATGGAGAACAAGAGACTGAGCTCAGCAGAACTGAGATCTTTCGTTCAATGTTCTCCCGTGTCATTTATGTTATGGTTAGTTATACGCGTAACGCGTGTTATTTGTAGTTAGTTATACGCGTTTTTTAAAAGCGCGTTGAGTAGTACGACTCTACCTGGCATCTGTTTGGCTTCATTTGGAGGGTGGGTTAGCATTTTTATTTTTTAATTATTTTAATTTGGATTAAAAAAAATTGGATTTTTTTGGTGTTTTGATTTTTGTGAAAAAAAAAAATTATAATTTAGAATGATATTTTATTTTATTAATTTTTTAATCTATTTTATTTTCTTAGAATTATTTTAGATTTTTGCAATTTTAATAATCATTCATGTGATGCTCCTTTTGGCTTCCGGCGCGGTTGGTTTCGTCACCCGGCTAACCGTGGTGGGTGGGTATTTTTTGGTTTAACAATGTATATGTATTAATTAGTGTATCAATACTAATTATGATTTTATTATTCACCTCATTTATTATACAAATTATAAATATCAAAAATATTTTAAATTATGTCACATTATCAATTAATATACTAATTGATAAATATAACATTACTTTTAACAAAAATAAACGGGGATGTATCCGGACCGCACACAAAATTAATTTTATCATTAATTTGTTTTCTTAATTTGTTATTAGCAATTGTGTGTACAGTTTAATAAATAATTAATGTATTAACATATGGTATGATATTAACATTTTAAAATTATAAATATCATCTATTATATAAATTATAAAATGTTTAAAATTATATAATATTATTTATTAATAGAATAATGCTTGGGACCCCCTTTTGAGGGTCACCCCCTCACCCCCCTTTGCCACGTGGCAGGGGGTGATTGGAGGAGCAGAAAAAAAAAAGAAAAAAAAAAAGAAAAAATAACCAATGAGAGAAAGAGGGGTCAAAGGGATGGAGGGAAAAGGGGGATGAATCATTACTCTTATTAATATATTAATTAAAACATATAACTTTATTCCACGAAACAATGGTGGAAAATTGTTTCATGATCTAGATGCATCTTGCCCTATCCTTAATCAATAGTGGAAAATCTTTATTTTTAGTTACTTTTCAAATCACCTAATATAAAATTATAAATTTTTCGCCCTCCACCAACGCACACGTCTTTTAAGATTATCAAATAACATCTCCATATCCGGTGTTATTAGAGCATCTCCAACTCTGAATTAAAGTTTTCATCAAATCTGAATAAAAAAATGACTTTTTCCTAAATCTGATACCGAGTGCTCCAATGGTTGATTTTCATCAAATTTTCATCAAATCTGTGCCGGGATAACCGGTTGGTCGACCAACCGATCAATCGGTTACCAAAAAAAAAAAAAAAAAAATTAACTTTTTGAACCTTTTAGTGGTCGACCGGCTAGTCGACCGATAAGACAAAAAAAAAAAATTTTTTTTTTCAACTGTTTGACTTTTTTTTGGAACTGTTTGAACCTTTTGGTGGTCGACCGGTTGGTCTCCCCCAACGGTCATGCACAGTGTTTTGATGAAATGCGGAGCCTGTCCTCATTTTGGTGAAACGTTTGGTGAAATCTCGATTTGATATCAATTTGGTGAAACCGTTGAAGCATTAAAAAGTACTTTTTTTACCAAATTTTAAATTTGATACCAGTTTTAGTTTAGGGTTGGAGATGGTCTTATAAATTATAAATTTTGATGTGAATACAATTTTATTAAGGACAGTGATAAAGAACTATAAAATTATAATTTTAATATGAGTTTTAATGATATAGTAAGTAAATAAAAGAAAAATCAAAACAAAAATCAAAAAATCAAAAATCAAAAATCAAAACATCACATTATCATGTGAAATCTACCATTAAAGTTCTCAAATTAGAGTTCCTAAGCATTATTTTTTTATTAATTGTAGCTAGTGATGATAGAGAGCTCTAGAAGTAGATCTCTAAATTGAGCTCTACTTAGGTGACAATGAAAAAATAAATAAATAAAGTCAAAACATTACGGGTGTGTTTAGTAACGTTTACGTTTTCAGTTTATATTTATAAAAATTTTATAAACGGGTTTTTGTTTATTTTTTGAAAAACATAAACTACAAACGCGTTTGGTAATTGACAAGATATTTAAAAAAAAATTAAAATATAAAAAAGAGTGAGAAATGACAAGTGGTGGCAAGTGGCGGCGGAAGATGGTAGTGGAAAGTGGTGATGGTGGGTGGTGGGTAGCTGGTGGCGGTGGGTGGGTGACGGTGGCGGGTGGTAGCGAGTGGGTAGTAGTGGTGGTGGTGGCGGCGGGAGGTTGGTGGTAGTGGTGGCAGGTGGGTGGCGGATGGGGGGTGGTGGGGGGGGGTAGCGGGTGGGTGGTGGTGGTGGTGGTGGTGGTGGTAGCGGTGGCGGGTGGCGGGTGGTGGATGGCGGGTGGTGGTGGCGGGTAGGTAGCGGGTGCTGGTAGTGGGTGGGTAGGTGACAGTGGTGGGGGGTGGGTGGTGGCGAGTGGGGGGGGGTGGCGGGTGGTGGGTGGTGGTGGCAGGTGGGTGGTGGTGGTGGTGG